CTCATTAATCATTGTTGCTTGTTTCAAAATAATTTCACCAACTATAGTAATCAACAGATTATGGTATAAGAGTGAATTTTTGCCTTCCGTTTTTTTAACAGCAGTGCAACAGTTATAATTATATGATTATTGTTCCCTTGGGTTCCTAGTGGAACAAAGGGCTTCAACTACACCTCTCCACTCGCTCCTGTCTTCTGCTGTACTTTTCATCTGCGTCCATGTTAATCCATACTGCTTCAATTCCTCTTCACACGATCTCCTCCACGTCACCCTTGCACCCACGAACCACTCGCCGCTTCCCTTTCGGGTTCCACTCGAGCACTGGCCTGACTGACGCGCGATGTCACCCCCCCAGTGGCCTCCTCAGCCAGTGTCCAATCCATCTCCACTTTCTCCTACATATTTGTTGGGCGATTGATTCTTGTTTTGTTTCTTCCCATAGTTTCTTGTTGGTTCTTGTTCTTTCCGGCGGCCATCTGATCTTCAGTATAGAGCCAGCGAAGACAGTTGTTGATAAAGGTCTGCAACACGCTGTTGGAAATATTCTTAGTGACCCGCCGTCAAGTTTCTCATCCATCCGTATAGAAGAACTGACTGACTGACTTGACGTCGTTTGTATTGAAAATCCGAATCATTTTGTTGTTGATGCAGGCTGAGTTGAGTGACAGCGGAAGATTTACAGATTGGTTTCAGGTTGATGAATGTGTTTCTCACCTTCCCGATTCTCGATTTGACATCCTCGTCCGTTCCTCCTGTAGTTGAGACAGTAGTGTTGAAGTAATTATTTATACTATACATTGACATTTGTCATTTTGCACTGCAGGTAAATAATGATGATTTTTATTATTTTTTCCAACCAACATTTTAGACGAAGTCTGTATTTAAATATTATTATTCATCATACATTTGGTTCCCTTGATAAATTTCGATAAAGAAAGGAAAACGAAATTTGCAGTATAAAATGATATCGTCATTCTATTTCACAGGTTCTCATCAGCTGCCATTGACTACCTGAAATTACAATGGTTATATAGATGATAATAACATACTTTAGTGTTTGAGTGGTAGTAGAGAAGAGATACTATAAAATTGACGCATCCAAAATGAAAGCAGCATTACAATTAATTTTTTAGTTTACGATTTCATCATCAATTTATACGCTTTTAAAGTTGAAAAGAGCGGGGTGGAGGGGTGAGACAGAAAACATAAAAAATTAATTAACAGAACAGTGTTAGCTTGTAGCTTGTTCACATAGCACAAGACATATACAATTCAAATTCAACAATTAACTTTACCGACAAATTGATGGGTTCGCAATGGGTTCGTCTTTGGGACCTATTCTGGCTGATATCTTCATGGGCTTCCTTGAACAGACACAACTGAGTTCTGCTATCAATGGAACAACCTAATATCGCCGATATGTTGATGACACATTTGTTGTTTGCAACGACATGGATCACGCATCGGCATTATATGATAGCCTAAATGAGACCCATCCAAACATTAAATTCACCAAGGAATATGAACATAATAATGAGTTCAATTTCCTGGATTTAAATGTAAAAAGAACAAACGAAGGCACGATCGAAAAGTTCATCTATAGAAAAGAAGACTGGACTGGGCAATATCTTCACCATAACAGCTTTTGTCCCATAAGCTATAAACATGGATTAGTAAGGACTTTGTATGACAGAGCCAGGAAGCTATGCTCACCAAACAAGGTGGAAGAGGAATTAGATTTCGTCGAGAAATGCCTAAGAGAAAATGGATACCCTAAGGGATTTATACAGAAGTATAGCAGAGAAAAAGATAAGAAAGAAAAACACCCAACTGTAGAAAAGAAAAAAGTGTTTATTTGTCTCCCATTCAAAGGAGATGCAGTGTCACAAAAGATTGACAAAAGACTGAAAGGAGCAATAACTAGAAGCTTCCCGACAGCAAAACTCATAACATTATACAGCACCACTTCTTCTATAAGCCACTCAAAACTGGATAAATACCCTGCTAATGTCACCTCCAACTGCGTTTATGAATTTACGTGCACTTGCGGGAGCAAGTGGAAGGACGGAAAGAAGGGCTTCTATCCGACTTTCTGAACATATTCCAAGAAACCTGTACCTGAAAAGAAGCAAATATTCTCAGAGTGCAATTAACAGACATAGTGTTGATACCGGACATCTCGTAGAGATTTTTAAGACCTTCAAAATACTAAATAGACAAAAGACAGGAAATTTACTACGATTTGCCGAAGCGATCGCAATTAAACGATTTAAACCAGACTTATGCATACAGAAAGTGAGTGTGATTAACCTCTCACTCCCTTGGTAATTGAATTTTGATTACATTAATTAGTCATCTAATTCAGTGATCTCAACTCACTGAACAAACCTTGATCTCATAAACTGTGACCGCTTTGGTTTTTTGAGTTGCTATGTGAACCTGCAAGCTAACACTGTTCTGTTAATCAGTTTTTTCTGTTTTCTGTCTTACCCGTTCACCACCCCCCTCTTTTCAACTTTAAAAGCGTATAAATTGATGATGAAATCGTAAACTAAAGAATTAATTGTAATGCTGCTTTCATTTTGGATACGTCAATCTTATAGTACCTCTTCTCTACTACCACTCAAACATTCAAGTATGTTATTATCATCTATATAACCATTGTAATTTCAGGTAGTCAATGGCAGCTGATGAGAACTTGTGAAATAGAATGACGATACGATATCATTTTATACTGCAAATTTCGTCTCCCTTTCTTTATCGAAATATTATGATTCAGTTGCTAAACTACATCGAATTTTACGTGAAAAGTCATCCTTGGAAAGTAGAGATCAACTGCAATAAGGTTTAGAAGAATACTGGTCTTCACTATACATTTGTGAAGCATTGAAGGTTCACTGAATGAGATGATCAGCCTTCAACCAATGAGTAACAGATGCAAACCTACACGCGCTTATAAATAGGGTGATGATTAGGAAGGGTTTTTGTGCATTTGGAAGTGTGTGGGCGACTGTTACTTTCTAGCTGTGCGCACCATCGAAGTTAATTCCTTTCTGGAGTACCCGAAACAAAAAGAGCAATGGTGTTCAGTAACGGCAGAGTTCAGGGGACAGCTGCTTGACGCCGCTCACACACGACCTGTTTGAAGAGCTTTCTAGAGTTTCATCATCTGTATTAGGATCTAACTACCGGCTATTGAACGCCGCAAAATAAGTCGGGATATACAATTTTGTGGGGTCAACCATTCCAAACCCACCACTCCAGAGCTGAAAAGCAGCACAGCTAGCTGGTATGCTGCCCATCTGAGGGAAACACCTTATAGCTGTTATACCCCTATTCCCTGACAGTACGATTTCATCTACAGAACCCCCCAAACCAGTGTAGACAATCCGAACTATGACCAAACAACCATTCTGATATGATAGGAACTGCAGGAACATTAGTTGCAGACAATATAGCTTGCTGAGACACTATGATGTGCAAGCGCAACCACCAAATCAAGGTGGCAGCCCTCAGTCGGATATAAATAGGGTAGTAGTAGTGTGCTGAGAGCTGGCTGCTAGCCAAAGTTGGTAGACAGTAATTGACGTCAATGTTTATGTCCCCAATATTGGTGGTGAGAAAATGAGAACAAAGGCTTTGCGTAGGCGGATACAGTTAGCTTATGGATGATCTGACACAGCCACAAAAAGATGCAAGGTTAACTTTCTGTGAGAAACAACCAATCAAAAGACTGTGTTTTCTACTAACAATAATCTACCATAATGTATACTAAAATCTATAAATGTGTTGATTTTCTTTAATAAACGATCTGTTGCCTGGCCCTTGTCTTCTGTTGTTACAGTAGTAGTGGTAGCAGCAGCAGCTAAGTGGCATCACTAGTCCGTCATACACACAACCATAGTAGCTCAATAACACAGAGATTCGCATATGATTTTTATTTACTTTTTTTATTTAAACGCAGAAAAAACTTGGTACAATATGGCACCAAGAAAGATGCGCCACACAATAATAATAAAACAACATAGATTAAAAGTAAAAATATCGGTAGAAAACGCATGAAGAACTTCATCTGGAAGGAAAACAGTCATGTTTAACAAGTTCAGGAAGGGAAGAAAGAAGGAAATTGCAACACGTTTGCCATTGATAACTGCGATTCTTGGCCATATCCGATAACATTTCGAGTCATCGATTCGAGCTATCTCGCAGACCCCAACCAGGGAGTCGTGACGCACCAACTGATGCTAATCTAGCACAAATATCCTTCATCCCACGACGCCACGTCATGGACTGACCACCCCTCCGCCTTTTCCATCCCGTCCCAGGGCTGGCTAGCGAACAGAGACCTGTACGGAAGCCTCTGGGATGATATTCGCAGCACATGTCCAAGCCACCTGAGCCGGTGTTTCTAGATGACGACACTCAATGAATGGGGATCTCCACTGTGTTCAAACACACGCCGCCGAACCTCAGAATTACTCACGCGATGATGCCATCGAACGCAAGCGATCCTGCGGAGACAGCGGTGATCGAACACGCAGAGTCGCCGCACATCCTCAGCTCGGAGAGGCCAGGTTTCACAGGCGTAGAGCAAGACAGCTCGCACCGAAGCATTGTATACCCGACCTTTGACAGCCAGGCTAACGTCGCGACGGCGCCAGAGGTGGCTCAAGTTGATGTATGCCACCCTAACCTTCATTATACGTTTGGAAATCTCATCCGTCACCCCTCTGCCAGCACTCACACAACTACCCAGACACGCAAACTTATCAACAACTTCAAGCGGTTCACCCGCAAGAGTGAGTGCAGGTACAGGCTCCTGCCAATCTTGTAACAGTACTTTGCACTTAGACGGTGCAAAGCACATACCACACTTACGCAAATGATTGATCAACCGCCAAACACTACATTCCACAGGATAAAAAAAATTCAGTAAATTAATATGTTTCAGAGACAAAACAAAAGTTAATCTTGAAAAAAATAAATAAAAAACTACTTACATGCTCTCCAATTTCTAATTCAGACATATTCTTAAGGCAAATAACTAACTGAGAAGATTTCGCCCTTTTTATTTTCTCATTACGCCATATATGTGGTATATATAGTTGGCGCATGAAACCAATTGATTCAAAATACATTCTTCTCGTGAATTTTGTATAAACACAATCATCTGCCCATAGAAACCAATTGACAGCAGGTGCTAGTCGACGCTCAATAGCTGAGATAAGAGCGCATAGTTTAACACCTTCCGTATCGGATAATTCATATTCTAAACCATAATTCTGTGAATTGGATGAATGCAAAAAAAATTAAAGTGATAACATTGTATTATATTTTTAGAATTAATAAAATTACATCCATATTTTTTTAACAGGTAGTTTAATGAGGTAGTTTACTGATTGACTGTGTAGTTCCCACGCAGAACTCCGGCACAGAAGCGAAACAGTTCGAGTTACCACACTTCATGTAGTACAAAAAGGGTGGATAAGAGGGAGGAAAAATCACAAGAATTATACTGAGGTGAAATGTACGCGAAGATAGTAACACATGCAGAATAAATGGATCTGGGAGATTACGAAGAGTGAATACATCTGTGCCATTAAGAATGATTTCGAGGCATACCACCAACAATCCCAAGGCATTAATTCTTAGTATTTTCAGGATCCTAGCAGTATGTCTGTCTGTTTTCGACATTGAACTTTGCACATATGTGCGGAAGTTCAAGTCGACACACTCCCTCCATGTAGCACACAAAGCAAGAGAAGAAAGTAGGAGAAATGCATATTAGAGACAGTAAACACAGGTGTGAGACAAACGAGTAGTAATAACGAAGAACAAAACAGTTTCATTGGAAATCATAAGTCACAGGGAGTGGATGCATCTGCACTGGCCAGCCATTGAGAACGATCACTTTGAGCTAGCCATGTCACCAATTGTTTCCAACCTCCATTGGTTTTTACCATCCCAAGGACCCCAACCAGTCAGCAAGTCCACACCTTCCTACGTGGCCTGGATTAACTGTTGTAGATTTCATTGACTGATGAGGCCATGTTTTGGTTTGACCGCCACTAGCTAGCTCTTTTCCAGTCTGACCCATCCTATGTCAGCTAACATTGCCCATTGTCGAGGAAGGCGATGACTAGGCATGCATACGTAACACATGTCCTAACCATCTCAGTCGATGTAATTTCACAGCCTCGTCGATTGATTTCCAATTCCTCCTTACCAACTAGCACTCGACCAATGCCTAACCTGAATATTGCTCACCTTGTTATACCACTTCACACGGGAGATAGAACGCAGACACCTATGATCAAAGACAGCTAATCTTTTCATGTCTTTCGCTCTCAATGGCCAGGTCTCACAACCAGCCTTAAAGGAGGACGGAGAGGACTGATGAGCAGTACACACGCCCTTCGGTCGATAGTCGGATATCACGTCTACTAAGCCAGAGACGGCGTAAACTGGCATATGCGAAACTAGCCCTCTGTATTCGTGCTGATATTTCTTCAGAGATCAACCCGTTGGCGTTAGCCGATGGTACTTCCCAAGTAAGTGAAGCGACCAACGTGCTCTACGACTTCACTTCCTATTTCTATTCTAAGGGTCGGTGAAGTCGAATCCTGCAACATCATCTTACATTTTACAGGGGCGAATCGCATGCCAAACATACGAAGATTGCTGCTCGAGGTGTTCAGAAGACTCTGCTAGACTTCTGTCAGCGTCCTCGCCTAGAAGGACTATATCGTCTGCATATTCTAAGTCAACGAGATTATTCCCCGATATACGGCTGGCTGAAACCAATTGTCAAAGACTTCATGAACAGATGCCAAATTTCAATTTGACTACGCCTAATTCCTTTCCCCTACATCATGAAGTAGCAATGAGGCGCAGTTTACTGAATGATTTGATTATACTCTTGCCATAATAAACAAATTCAAAGTGCAGTATAGTATTGCAGCAAAAGAATGCGTCACATATACACCTACATGGTAACAATATTAGGAGTTTTAAAAATAACATTATGAGCATAGGCATATGCCAAAACCTACATTCACGGGAGCTGATATAGATTTTTCATTTTCAATAGTAGGAAAAACACTGCAACCTGAATACGTTTTTGACTGTGACTATTGCGTCTTGATTTCGGAAGTTGCCATACGAACACCCACCACGTAATATACGTGCCTCTGATCGAGTTAGTGATCTCATAAATTGACACAACGTATGTATTTAGTTAACTATGGCTTGATTCAAACTTATTCTCGCAAACACAACATAACGAAGTAAACGGTGAGTAGGTAATGCGTAAGATATGATCCATGCACATAAAACGATCGAGGTTCAGGAATTCCATCGATTGACTTATGTGGGAGTGTATTAGTTACAACTCAGCAACCCGGTGCCGGTTTATAAGACACTCATTGATTAAGGGCAAATGATATTATCCGGTTGCTTAAGCTAATATAATAAGTGGAGAGGGATTCGAACCCCGGATCCCCTAGGTTGGATCAGACGACCGAAACACAAACCAACCATTGAATGAAAAAGGTGATCCAAGAAGTTCTGAATTTGAATGACAAATTAATCGATAAATTACTTGAGTATACTATATTTTGATTTTGGACGACGGAAAGTTGTATATCATTTACACTAAACTTCGAAATGCATAGGGTGCACCATATAAAAAGCAAAGGAGGTGGTGTAGTCATCTACCTCAAGAAATGCTTAACCGTGCGTAGCATCGAAGGACTCGCTCACTAAAGTGAATCGTGAGAACTTCTACGCCGCAGACTTAAATGCATAGGTCAAGATATTGACCTCACTGCTGTATCCCGATCAATGTAGCAAAATGTGCAACCATGCGCATTGGACAAGCAAGCACGAGCTCCTACGAACTAGAGGGAATTACACTTCCATCAGTTCAGACTCACTTGGATTTAAGTGTCATATTTAGCCACGACTTAAAAACTACAGCACACTTCCGCGCGGTGGCTGCACGTAGTTTCAGGTCATTATGGGCAATTCGTAGAGCCTTCACTAGAATCACCAGAGATGTGGTCACCTCCTTATATACATCTCTGGTGAGGTCTAGACTGGAAAACTGCATCCAGATCGCCAGCCCTTGTCTAAAAGGGGACTCACACATTATAGAAATGGTTCAAAGGAAGGCAACATGTATGGTACTCGGAATGACTAATTTATCACTCGAGGAAAGACTAGACAGTTTAAATCTCTTCTCCCTGTCATACCGTAGGCAGAGAGGAGATTTAATCACAATGTTTAAAATTTTAAGTAATGACTACGGACCTGACCTATTCTCTCTTTTCCTTCCCACCAGGTCGGAACACTAGACGATATAGCAGGAGAGTTCAAAAGCCAAGAAGAAATCATATTGCTGTTGAGTACTGGTTCTCACACCGAGTCATAAACTCTTGGAAACGACTCCCAGAAGAAATGGTGTCTACAACCTCAACTGAATTATTCAAGAAGGGTTTTGACTACCACAGAAGTTTACTAGAAAAGGATTAGCATAGGCAGCAAGCCTTCCATCCTCAACCAAAAAATCTGAAATCTGAATCAGTATAGGTTAATGAAGGCGAATTAGTATATTTGACTGCTTAAATTGTAGTATTTTGAAGCTACTACACCAGTGAATAATGAAAACTCCATAATGTACAGTTCTGAAAAACAAAGCGTTAGAGGGAAAGTCGTCTGAATACGATGACGGTACATCCAGCACTGCTGTTTATAAAGACTTAAACATGGCGTAGCAGTATCTCCTTGTAAGTATTCTGTAACAGATGCAGTAACTAAATCTAGTCCTCCAACAACTGTTTTCACTTAGCTTTCATTTGACATTGTTTAATTCAACAGGAAGCAAATTTTGTTAACACGTAGAATTATCTAACTTTTATCGACTACGCATAAAATGATGACATTAGTCTAATCTGCACACCTACATAACTAGTTTGAAAACCCACATATCGTAAGTGTTGGAGGAGACCATATGAAATCAAACTTCGAGTCATGGTTACAGTAACACTAAATCAGTCGGTGAATTTTTTTGACCTGGGATATGTGGGTAAAAACGTGGGCAGTTTTCCGTTTGGAATTGGGTAAAGTGGGTTGTTCTCCGTTGTAACATGGGTAAAGTGCTCGTTGAAAAAGTAGGTAAACTGGGAAAAATAGGGACAATAAAAAATTTTTCAGGACATGGGGAAAAAGCGGCCAATATGAGTTAATTGTGTAGAGTTGTAACCCCTTTAACCCAAGTCTTTGCCAATCAAAATTACCCACTTAGACTATAGAATACAGGTGCATTCTCAGACTGTTATCAGTAAAGTATTCAAAGGAGTTTTGGAAATTCAAAGTCAGAAGTTCTAGAAACAACAAAAAAGGCCAGTGAACTTACTTCTTTCCTGAGATAAGTGAGAATAACCGGGATTCCACTGTAATTTTTGCTGTCGTGACAGAGAATTGGATAACCACTGGCATTACCATCTACTGGTGACTGCATTTTCAAGTTAATGGGGGCACCTTTCAGTTTTATATAGCACTAGTTTTATGTCTATATTTTGCAATAAACCTACATATATTAGCAAACATTCTGGGTCACAAGGTAAGAGTTCACCCTGACCACACAGTATAGTTAAATCCATCACGAGAATTACTTCGAACTGGCCTCATATACTAACCCCCGACCTTCAAACTGAACTTCAATATTCAATATCCAGCTACTTTTCGACGAGCTTATATAAACCTTATTATTTCTTGATTCCTCCTCCCTGCTGGTCTGAAATGAGCAGGATGAGAACTAAAAAAATATTTCAGGAATAAATTATCTGTTACCATCTTTTCAATAAAACTGCAGCATTTAATGCTTCTCTATTTTGACTAGTTGCACCAGGTTAGCGGTAATATAAATCGACGTGGCTGCTATAGTTTAATCTTGCCCAGTGTGGAAAACGTTTAACGTTTAAAGATATGAGTACGCGGAGAAATCCATTAGGTCACTAAAGCTGGTTCCATGGATAACAAATATTCTCAATATAGTCATTTTCATTTCTAATTTCAGACATACTGGTCGAGGGTAGAAGGCTTGAAGTTTGTGTTATTTCTTTTCTGATAATTGTTTGTGCTCGCCCGGTCTATTTTTGAATTAATAAACTGGGGCGCAGATACCACATCTGGTAATCGGCTCCAAGTGTTTGCGGCTATGCCAGTACTCTACAGTGGCATAGTTATTACTTGGCTTTTGAACTTTCCTGCTCCGTTCTTTGAGGTGTCTAGACCCAAAAGAAGAAAGTGGAAAGATGGAGCAGGATCATGGTTATTTCTTAGGATTTTAAATATGGTGATTTGATCTCTTGTCTGTCTACATTATCACTGGGAGAAGATATTCGAACTGTTAACCCTTCCTTCGCTTGATAGCCAGTCACATAAATATAGGCAAAACAAACAACAGGTGTAGTCTCTAAGTTCATACATTAAATGGGCCTATAATTTCTGAAGATCTTACATGGGAATTAGCACTGGTATCACTTGCAAACTCACTTAGAGTGTCATTAACTGTCTTTTTAAACGAGGTCAATGAGCTTGCTAGCGGCATTTCCTCAGGTAGTTTGTTCCATATTTGGGCATACCTAGTCAAGAAAACTTTTGCCTGGTGGCTGTTTTACATTGTTCTATCGCCAGCGTACCTTTAGTGTCTAAGGTTATATGCAGCGTCTTCTGAAAACCGAGTACAATTAGTAGGGGTATACACTATGTGGTTAAGAAGCTTATAGAAGAGTACCAGATTTAGTCTCAGTTGTCTTAACCATAATGTTTCTAGTCCTAGAATTTCACATCTGGTAGAGTAGTTTGCGCCATTTTCGATTCCGAGTACTTTTAGCGTGAAGTACCTTTGTACTCCTTCTACTTTCAGTTTGTCTTCTATGCGTATACTACTATACATGAATGAGCAGTAATCTAAGAATGGGCGCACACAAACCTTGTACGATAGTATTCTGGATTCACTTCTGTAGAAGTTCCTAAGTAGGAAACCAATAAGCCTGCATCATTTCGATACTTGTTTTGAGATATGCTCAGAAAATGATAGATTGTGTGAATATTTCAGTCCTAGGTCTAGCACAGATTTGAGTCTGGGAATTTTGTGGCCCTGAATTGCTAGGTCGAGTTCTAGGTTGGAACAGGCTATGAAGAGCCAGCCACACTTTTCGACATTAAACTCAAGTCTCCAGGTGTCACACCATATATCCATTTTTGTTAATTCTTCATGTATGGAGTCCATAGTTGTACCGATATCTGTATTTGTGCAGGTATATGTCACCTTTAAGTCATCTGCATACAGTATTGGTTTGCCTATACTAAAGCACTCACATATGCTGTTTATGTTTATAATGAAAAGAAGGGGGCCCAATACACTTTCCTGGATGACACCACTACTAATCGGCCGAGGACTGGAGGTCATCGAGCCAAATCGAAACGCGGTACGTCCAACGTTTGCGTTACATTTTTGCGTGATTCGTTACATAAAATTTATCTTGTTGTAATACTTGCATAAGTACTCTACTACCTCTATACCTATAACTATTAACTCTCATATCAAATAGTTATGGTTAACCAAAGTAAAAAGCAGCGAACTCAATCCCCTGTAAAACTGAGGACTAATCTTAAGTCGCTGATTGCTACATCAAGCAACACACTTCCTACAAATGGTTATAGTGAGCCACAAAACTCACTTGTATGTCGTAAGCGTCGAGCTGAAACTGAGGATAAAACTGCACTGACAGCTAGTATTGGCACTACTCCCAAAAATTCAGTACCCTCTGCTCATACAGAAACCCTCCCTTCACCTTACGTACTTATCGAAAAGCTCCAGCCTTCAAGCTCTGTTTCAGAACTATCTTCTGAAATAGAACTTCTAAAGTTGTCTATAGGAGAACTTAAGGCCGAGTTAAGGGAAATAAAAAAGAAGTCAGTAAATCCAGGAATTTCTGATACCAATACCAAAATATCCAAATTACCAGATCAGATCAGCGATATCAGATCGCAGGTCTGTGAACTGACACCTTTAACTATCCTCATGAGAACTGTAGACCTTAACAAACTTGACACGGAATCGGTATCTAAGGTGGATAACCTCATTAACTTTGTTACTACAGAAGTAACAAAACGACTCGATGCTAAACTAAATGCTATTGTCTACAACGTTCCGGACAATGAGGCACTAAAAAAGGTACAGCGCATCTTACTTAGTGAGGCGAAAATGCCCAACTCCAAGACTAAGTGCTACAGGCTGAAGAAGAGTCAACATGAAAAGTGTTTTCCTATTCGTTTTCAGTTCGAAACACCGGCTGAGGCCAGAAAATTCATCCACTTCCAACACACCCTATCGCAAGTCAGAAATTACAAACTAATAAAGGTTGCGGTAGACAAGACCGTCATAGAAAGGCGCGTATATAATTATCACACTGAGTCTAATTGTGGAATAAACAAAAGGACATTGCAAGCAGCAATTATACCCAACCCTTTGAGAGACACCGTAGAATCCACCGCACCGCCCCTCTCTAACCACACAGAATTATCTTCTCAGAGAGCGACACCAACCGAAAGGCCACTAAATTGTAATCAAATAGCCAATAAAACTATACCACCTACCACCGTAGATTTAGACATGTCACTAAATAATCCAAGAAAAAATGTCAAAATCCCCCGAAAGTTGACCCTGTCATCTCCTAGCCATAAGTCCATTGGTAAAAAAGAGAAGAATATGACCCCAAATCATGCCAACAACAACAATGGCAGTATAAGTAAGCCCACATTCCCCACGGTCAATAGTATTGGCACCCATAACGTGCGAAATAGCACCATAGCCCACACTGATAACCAACGCCAAAACAATGCCACCCTCAATAGTACAAGTGACAATAGTCAGAACTCGACCACCAACAACTCAGGGCATTCACAGTATGGCACGCAAATAAATTTTGATCGGATATACGGTACAAGTCTGCTGGGAACTAACCCACAAAGCAGTACATACGAAACCCATACAAGGACACAACTAGTACCTAACAATAGGTGGAATAATATACCATGGTCTTCACAAGGTCCCAATCATTTTTTTTATCCCCTGCGTCCCTGTCAGCGTTGAAAAAACAGCTCGTAGGGATGCTAACACTCCTAAACCGCCAGTGCTGGCGACCCCTTTGCTTGAATACAGGAACAGTCTAGTTCACCCGCATCCACTAAGCACTCTTGGTACATGCACAAGTTCAGGTCAAATAAAGATCCCTACCCCCGTTTCTAGCTTAACTAAAAATAAAAATGCCTTAGCCTATAGCACATCCAGTTCTCCAACGCTCAATTCTTCACCGAAAACAGCACACACCAACTCGATAGACATAGGTGAACATGATGCTGAAACTCCTTTTAACATAGGGTCGTCATGTCAAACAGTACTACTGGGTGCTGAACCACATTCGGGGCTGATTAACGAACTTAAATACTTCAAATGCTATTTCAAATCTCATCTTTACCTAATCCTCATAAATGCTAGATCCGTTCTAAATAAACTACCGATGCTCAGAGCACTCACAGTAATATACAAACCCCCTATAATTGTCATCACTGAATCCTGGTGTAACTCGAACATACTGGATGAAGAGATAAGCTTAGATAACTATACACACTTTCGGTGTGACAGGGAAGGTGGTAAGGGAGGGGGTTGTCTTATGTACTTTCTGAATGCACTTACTGTATCACAGCTAGAAAGTAGTACACTTAACATGCCTGAGACTTTATGGGTTAACTTACACTTAAATAACGCAATAGTATTAATTGGATGCACCTACAGAGCACCTGGCACCTTAAGTAATTACGAGACCCAACTTATTAATACTCTAGAACAATTATTCACCCTACACTACGATCATAAGATCCTATGTGGAGACTTTAACTTACCAGAAATCAACTGGGAAATACCCACAGGTCCAACTAAACTTGATAAGTTCTTAGGCACACTGGATATACTTGGCTGGAAGCAGACTGTCACAACCCCTACAAGAGGTAATAACGTACTAGACTTAATCTTCTGCCACAATATAAGTCCCCTTTCTACCCTAGTAGGTTCTGAGTTTTCAGGGAGTGACCACAAAACAGTGCTGTGTGCACTGCCACTTCCGTCAAGTAGCAATGCAACCCATACCCCTACTTCACAACAAATAACTTACAGGAACTACAGTAAGGCAGACTGGACTCTAGTAAAATCAATGCTAAGATCCTCAGAATGGAGTGAGTACTTCTATACTGATAGCCTCTCGAAAGCTCTAGACATCTTTTACTATAACTCCAACACATGCTTAGATGCTGTCATCCCACTTCAAACATTAAAGTTTTCCCCACATAGAAAGTCATTCATAAAGCCAAAGGATCGTAGGAAACTGAAAAGACTGTCAACAAGTTACTTCAGGCGACACGACTTTAGTACACTAGGGTCAATACTTAGTACTCTTAGCTCCATCTCGCAAGCTCATAACTTGCGTATGAGAAATGAAGAATGCACCGCACTAGCCAGCACCACCAGAGTAGGTGCTCTCACAGAAATCCTAAAGAAACGAATGAATCGCCAAAGCCATGAAATTTCTCTCCTTATAAACAAGGGCAAACTATACAGCAAACATGCAGACATGTGTGAA